GATCTGTAACTAGATTATTATGCACTATCTTTAGCACACCGGTAGCTATTCATTACCCAGCTCTATCCAACATCCTTGTGATTACCAGGTGAAATCCTTTTGTGTTGTACTCACAAACCACTAATTCCCACCAACCCAAAGGCTAAGAATGCTACCAGATGCCACCTGAAGCCTGTAACTGTGATTCTCTTGCTTTGCTGTCACTGGCCTATCTGATGCTCCCATCATGTATTTGAAGACTGTCTTGATTTATGACTTTTTGTTCTGTAGGTATAAAAACTTCACAAAACTGTTACCACTTTGGGTCTTGGTATTTGGAATACCTGATCCCATGTTCCTGGACCATGATTACTAATATTTGGCTTTAGAATAATTTATCCCTTATTCCTTTTGAGGTGAGAGCTGTTTTTACCCTGACCGTGGCCCCTACAGTGGTTGGCCTGTGACTGTGTTTCTTGCATCCCTTTGCTCGGTCACACTTGTACCTGTTAGCAGTGGGAACAGTGTGTAGATGCTGACTCCTGACCCTCCTGGCATAGCTTCCTCTTTGAACTGGATGACAGAAGAGTTCTTAGAGCTCTCTGAATTGCTTTTCATGTGTGAAGTGAAGAGCAATCTGCCCCCTCCTGACTGCACTTTTACTCACCCCTTTATTCCTAATGCTGGGCATTGGTGGATACTTACCTCTTTTAGTAAATAAGCATAGCCAGTTATCCATGTAAATATTGTCTGTGGCCGCTTTCACAGTACAAAACTGACCTGTGGCCCACAGTGTCTAAATTATTTACTATATGGCCCTTTATAGAAAACAAAACTCAACAAACTAGCTCTGCTTCTTCACCTGCACTTTTCCTAGTTTTCCTTGCTCCCTCTTTGGCTGAGTCCTCGGGAAGAAAGAGTACAGGAATCGGTTCTAAGGGAAGACTGGACTAAGTAGATGTGCTTGATTTCACTGGGAGTTCCAAAGGAACGCCACCCCTTTCTCTGCCGGCCTCTTCAAGAAATGATGCCTCATATTTAATTCACAAGATAAAGTCCCATAATAAGTGTGATTATTGTAGATGGTACTTAACCATAGGATTCATAAGTTTTACCTAATTTAATGTTTATGACCAGTCGGGGACCAAGCAGATTTGGAGGTGGTAATGTTGAAACTGGGACTGGAAAGTGACTCATCCTTGATCCCACAGCTAGGAAGGAGCATGGTCCTTGCACCTTACCAGCTGCCTTTAGAGGAGGCTGCTGTTTCAGAGCAGTACCATAAGTGGGAAAAAAAGGATTGCAAACAAACACAGGGTATAAGGCTTTGGCAAAGGAAGATTTACAGTTTTGAATGTAAGAAAGCCATGGGACTATACCTCCCCCAAGAATAAACAAGCAAACTATGTGTAGAAGGATTTAGTGATCCCTAGAGACCTCTTACTGAAGTTCCTGTTGCAATCCTGATGGTTGGAGGTCTTTGGTTGTTCCAGTTACATCCTGCTCCAATGGGGCTTGTGAAGCAAGAACACAAGGGGTTAAACAAAAGTAGGATTGTGGGCTGTGCTGATACCATTGTCTTCTGTTAATGAAACTTTGGTGATTGTTAACAGGGTCATGCCAGAGCTGTAGGAAGAGTATGTGTGAAGGAGGAAGGCTTGTTTTGTTTTTCCTACTAAAGTTTGACTTTGTGGTGCATTAGGGTCTGTCTAGGGTCATACTCTAGTACGTGTGGCATGGAAAGCTTGTTGAGCCCATACCTGATTTTCTTCATAATTTCTTCATCATTGCGGAAAGGGGGCATCTAGAAGTAGTGTTATGGTGTGTGACTGTTCCCAGAAGTGTGTGTGTGTGCGCACGCGCATGTGTGCATGTGCAGACTGCTGCATGTGTGTTTCAGGTGTGGGAAGAGGAGAGAAGGGAATAAAGGTTGGTGGCAAGACACTGGAAGAACTTCAACAATAGATGGATGAGGTCAAGTGAGGAATGCAGTCTGCATTCAGAAAAACATCCAGAGTCACCAGATAGCAGAAGTGGGAGCCTACCAGGAAAGTAACTTAGTAACTACTGGAACCAGGGGCCACAGCCCATGAATGATAGAAAGGCATTGGGTGGGGGTAGTCCTATGGGCAAGGACACACAGCCAAAGCCCCAAGTAGAATTCCAGGACCCCTGAAGGGCAGTTTCAGATCCCTGAGTTACTCAACAGTCCAAAGGCCATTCTCACTTCTGCTTATCAACTCTAATATTCACATCAAACTAGCAGCCAAGATAAACTTACTCATTTTGTCCCAAAAATGTTACTTCTTTAATCCAAATATATGTACCTTAGAGTTACTAAAGTGGGGATGTCATGCCAGGACTGATTTAGCTGAAGATAATGTACTTGTCTTTCAGGGTCTTTGTGCTCTGGAAGTCTATTAAAATTCAAGCAGGAAGGATGGCTTGGAAAAAATTGTGGCTAGCAAGGAAATTTGCTGTCCAGCAGAGTCAACATATACACTGAGCTCTACAAGGTAGACTCCAGGGAGAGCAGCAGGCCAAGCACAGGGAGGAGCAGGGCAGTGTCAGCAAGCTTAACTGCAGCCCGAGGGTGGAGGATGGCTTTCCTTGTCTGTTTCATTTCTCCATTCTCTTTTTCCACCAGCATAACCGTGGCTGCTCCAAAATTCTGCCTCCCCTCCTTAGGAGTTGGCATTGGTGGATGTCCCAGCTATTCTGTTGCCTTCCCTGTGTGTTGCTTTGCTTTCATACTTTTTATTATCTAGTATGCCACATGAGGTACAACCTCTTACATTGTAGGTATAGAGTGCACGTGTGTTGGTTATAAGCACAGTGTCGGATCACAGACCTCTAGGACTTTTCCATCTTGCATGACTAAAATGCTGAACGCTGTGCTTATCAAAAGCATCTTCCTCAGGCCCCTGGCAAATGGCATTTTACTTTCTGTTTACAAAAGTTTTACCATTCTAGACGCCTGTAAGTGGTATTATATAGTGCATGTGTTCATATGATTTTTTTTTCATTTTACATAGTATCCTCACAGTTCATCAGTGTCCACTATTGCAAAATTTTCTGGCAGATTAATACGTTACCATATGTATGTACCATGGGCTTTGTTTTTGTTTACTTTGATCAGTTGCTACTGTGTTGGACATTTAGGATATTCTACCTCTTGGCTATTGTATACAATTCTACAGTGAAGATGGAAGTGTGTAAAGATCCTCTAAGATCTTGTTTTAATTTTTGTGGATAATACCTAGGAGTAGGACTGCTAGATTTTATGGTAGTTCTACTTTTATTTTTGTGACAGATCTGCATGCCATTGTCCTACCATTTTGTATGTCTATGGCTCGTGCTGTAGAGAATTGGATCTGTCTTCTTACTCTTTACCCCAATCTTCCTTCTTCAGGAAACAAAACTGCTGCCTGCCCCTTCGCTCTTCAGCTCCTGCTCCTGCTACCCTTCTTTTTTTTTTTTTCTTTTTTTCTTTTTTTTTTTTCACCCTCCCCTCCCAACCCCCCACCACAATACCATTTGTAGGGGAATGCCATCCAGTTGGGGTCATGTAGATCTGACAAGTCCTGTGAAGTAGGGACTAGGGCTTCTCTCCTATCTCTAGAATAAGGCAGTTATCCCTCCATGGGGGATATGTTTGCAAAATCCTTTTGTGCACCAGGGATACATCCTGGCTCCACTGTCTGAGGTCTCTTAGACTGCTCAGACCTTCTGGCTGAGACCCATCTTCCGGGGGCCCTGAGTCAGTCCCATGCTGGATTCCCAGCTATCAGTCTAGTGGCCATTAGCTCCTCCTTGTTCAGGTAAGCTGTCTCTATGTACTTCTACCGCATGGTCTTGTCCTCTCCATCTGCTTCTGGGTTCTAGTTCGACTCAGTGTTTATGTATGGGTGTTTGCTCCCTTCTTTTGTTTCCAGAATATAACCGGACTCTTGACATGTTCTTAAAGACTCATGATAAGTCAAAATACCCCATGACCTCATCTTGTTGCCCAGCTAGATGGGCTTACTTACTCTCTGCTGGAGTCTCTAGAGCTTTATCTCTGTTGTCTGGGGCATTGATAGAGATGTCTTGGCCTTGGCCTGGATTTTTGTTTTAACTGAACCACCACCTCTTGAAGGCAGAGACTCTGTCCTCTCTGAGGACTTTGCAAAATACATTTCTCAGTTGCTCTGGAAACATAAAGAGGACCCTGTTCATTCCTATAGAGAAAAGGTCAGTGACACCACCATTCTTAGCAAGCAGGATTTGGAATAGACAGACAGGCTTGGAGGGTTGGGTCTGACTGCACCTGAGCTCCTCAGTGTGGGATGTTGGCAGGTAGGGTGGACAGGTGCATGCCAGGAACAGGAAGTGGAGTTTACCTCATAGGAAGTCAGCAGCTGCTAGAAGCGGGGCCAACCTAGCTGACAGTCTGAACATCACTACTTCTAGCACCCTGTGCTGGAGAGTCCTTGGCTTCCAACCATGGTGTGCCTTGCCAACAGTGCTGTCTGAGTGGTTAGCCCACAGCTAAGCTGAAAGTCCAAGCCTACCCTTGTCTGTCAGTGGGAGGGAAAGGAAAGGAGTGGGCTGTTCAGTACTCTTAAGAGCTATGAAAATAGTCCATCCTTTCTGCTTTTCCCTTACCCTCTCACACCCCGCCATCTGTCATTATCCAAGCTACGGTCTCCCAAACCGGACAGTGTAGAATGAGCTGCATGCTAGAACTAGAGGACATTCTGAGGCTCTGCCTGTGGAGAACTCTCTAGCTGGTGTGGACGGGGCTAGCAATCTGCCATTTCTATAGAGGCCCACCAAGAATTGCTGAAGGATGGATGCAGGACTAAGTAGCTGAAGAATTATTTCCTTCTTTGTCCAACTTGATGTTTTCATAATTTCACAAAGATCATATCTTTCTTTAGAAATCAGAAAAAAGGATTGATGTTGTAAGAAATGAAATGCAGATGCTATTCTGAAGTGATCTTGCAATAACCAGTGACACTTCATTCCTATTTCCACAGGTGGACTTGATCTCATCTTCTTGCCAGGCCTTGGGTTTGACAAAGATGGCAACCGGCTAGGGCGTGGCAAGGGCTACTATGACACCTACTTGAAGCGCTGTGTGCAGCATCAGGAAGTGAAGCCCTACACCTTGGCTTTGGCTTTCAGAGAGCAGATCTGTCCCCAGGTCCCAGTGGATGAGCATGACATGAAGGTAGATGAAGTCCTTTATGAAGACTCCCCGGCATCTTAAGTCATATGACGACAGCCACATTCACTGTTTTGTGAAGAAACTATGTGCATTTTCCCCTTGTCAAAAATGAGTCAAAATGGCACATTAAAGTAAATAAGGATTGTGTTTCTTTAGTGTAAATATAAAGTATCTAACATAAAACCATCTTTAGAAATCAATAGAAGTGTGAATACCAGATTATTTGTTCAAATGGAGGTTAAAAACTGTATGTCTTTCAGCTTAGCGTCCTGGCGTTAAGATGGTAAGTTGACCTTTCTGCCTTGCAATTTAAATTAAATATTTATGAGTATTAGAGAAACATAGAAATTGGGGATGATGGCTCCATTCCCTAATGTCTGTCCATAGGCCTGATTGCTCTGGCATATGGAGACTCAGCTGTTATTAATTGGTTTGGCAGAACTTGGTATGGATCAGATATTCCCCAGGAATAATATACCACCTAATCATGGCTTCATTTACTCACCTTGAAGTTTAATGTGCGATACTTTGTAGCTCCATCAGGGGAATCTTTGATGATTTACATACTTTGATTCAGTTGATTGGTTTCTGGCCCTTAGGACCTTAAGATCTGATATACATTAGGAATCATTTCTGTTGATTCGTGGATTCTGTTAGGAAATGGAAGCTGCCATGGGCTGGACATTGCCAGATGGCCTCACAGCCAGAAGAGGCAATTTTGTTTCAGGGAAGATTTGGTTCTCACAAGATACTCAGGGGTTTTCCTGGCCACGACTGCGTGCTTAGGTCCCACCCACAGCCTGTCACCAGCTCCTGCTGGCATTGCCTCTGGGATGCCTTCTACATCTGTTCTCTCCTTCCTTTCCTCAGCCCACAATATTTCTCAGCTGAAGTAGGCAGCTTCATGCTTAGCTTCTTTTACCTCCAATTTATTTCAGGAATGATCTGATAAGATATGAGTGTAAGGTGGATTTTCTCAATTGGAGTATTTTGGAGACTTTGTAATGGTTAGATGCTTTCTACTGTGGAAGAAACCTCTTGCAAGTGCCCCTACCCTTCTTCTATCATCTTATCCCCTCCTCCTATATGATCTTTCTGTACATGCTGTGAGTATCACAGGCTGTTCCTGCTCTCTGCCCCGGGCAAGCCTGTTTTCCTGTGTCTCGATGCTATCGACTTTTGTACTGGGAATGGCATCTTGGGCTCTGCTTCTGTGTTATTTCTTCCAGAAGGTCTTCCTCGGCTCCCCCACTGCTGGTTCCATTTTCTCCTCCTTCCCTTGCTGTGGCCATTGTCCTGTCTATCACATTGACCTACATAGCAGTTATTAGTGTCCATGTCTGTCCACTTCATGAGGCTTCATGTGTTCAGTACATAACTGATGTAAAGTATTTGGTAACATTTTAAAGGGATAAACAATGCATATACATTTATTTCATTTAAGACAGATCTACTTTTTTACATAATATAGAGCTTGATATCTTATGCACAAAAGTAAGAAAGATGGCTAACAGTGGATCAGTACAATTTAGGATATACAATGAGAAATGAGAGAGAAATGGAATTCTTACAAGCTATGTTGACATTATTATACTGGTTAATCTGTTCCATGTTACTTCAGCTGCAAGCTGATATAACTGGGAAATAGTTAAATCATAAAATTACTGAGCTGCTGCAGGTCTGAAAAGCTTTTCTTTCTTAACCCAACCTGTGTTATTCTTGTACCAAAAGAGCCAGGTGTAGTTAGAGAAACAAATGGCCAGAAATTGCTAGGTACCCAAGATTCAGAAAAGTAAAAAACCAGAGCATCTTTCTCTGTAATGATTAATCTTGTCAACTTGTCAGGGTATAATCACCATGAAAACACATCCCCAGGTGTGTTTGTGAGGTTGTTTCCAGAAACGTTTAACTAAACAGTGGAGACATAGCCAAAATGTGGAAACTCTTATCTTATGGGGTGAGGTCCTGGACCGAGTAAGGAGAAAATGAACTCAGGGCTGATGTTCATTGCTCTCTGCTTCTGGATTGTGGGTGCCTCCTACTCCACATGCCAAGATGGATTGTGTTTTGCCAAAATAAACCTTTGCCTAAGTTGTTTCTTAGCAAGTATTTTGGTAATAATGAGCATAGTAACTAATATACCCTATAAAATGACAGCCATTCCTATGTGACCAACTGCACCATGGTATTCCTGCTGAAGGTATCAGAAGGAAGAAACTCCCCACCCCTAAAGATGTAGAGTATGATGACACTGTAGCTGTGATTAGGACCTGTATGACCTGGGGAGTGAGCACCACAGTGCAGGGCTTCAGCTGCTGTGGTTTGAATCTGAAATGCCCCTACAGGCTCATGTTTTGAACAGTTATCCCTGGTGATGCCATTGTTTTTCAGGAAGTAGGGCTTTAGGAGACAGATCCTAGCTGGCAGAAGTAGGCCATTGGGAATAGATTTGTCTTGGTTCCTCTCTTGATTTTCTGCTTCCTAATCCACTGTGATGTAGCCCCCACTGCTGTGAATGACACTTCTCTAGCACACCTTCCCTGCCTTCATGAACTGAAATCCTCTGAAACTGTGAGCCTGACCAATTCTTTCTCTTGGTTTGTTTTCAACAGATGCCTGTCACAGCAATGCAAAAGTAATGAGTACATGCTGTAAGAATGAAGAGGGTCTCAGGAGAAGGGTTATCTAGGTAGAGGGAACCAGCAGCCAGATACTTAGTGAAACCTTGAACCAGGGCAGATCTACTATTTCTACCAGCTAGGCTCCACCTCCTAAGGCTCCACTTAATCTTGAAGAGTTGAAAATACCAGAATCACAAGTAGATGTGTGATATATATTTTATATAGAACTATGCTTAATAGAACTAAAACTAAAGTATATGAAGTTCTAGTCTATCAGTGGTTAGGAATAATTCATACTTAACCCCAATATCCTCCAATATAAGAAACGATTGAATATATTGAAATATCTGTGGCTTCATGCAGAAGCCCTGCAGTTCCTGGCCCCAGATATTAAAATATTTGTGTAGATACTGGGATGGAGGCAACATGTGGGGGGGGGTATAAGTGGTTCTTGTAGAGATTTCTGAAATTCAGTTACAGTGTATTTGTATGGGTGTATGTTTAATTCTTCTGCTAGCCTATAGCTCATTCTCTGATAAATTCATGATCATTTTAGCATTGCCACAGGTTTGGGTTATTTCAGAACATGTGTTTGTAATTCAGGGCCTGTTTTGGCTAGTATATCTGTGAGTTACATTGTCTGTGTTTCTTTTCCTTGTTGGCAATTAACTTCTTTGCATATTTTCTGGTCATCTTCCTATGTCTGGAAGGTTTTAGACCTTCAGCCCTGTAAGAGTGATTGTCATTCCCATGGATATCTATTCCACATAAATGCTTCTTTTCATGCTTAAGAATAAATATTCTCCTAAATAATAAAATGCACACCATAAAACATGCCTACCAAAAGGGTATGGTAATACTGAAATAGAGTGTGTAAAATTTATCTTATGTTTTTAAAAGAGATAGTAATATGATAAAATTGTGTTTTAAAATTCATTTTACCATATCTTTTTAGAATAATATTTTATCAACTCTTTGAGAATTTCATACAATGAATTTATTTTGATGATACTCATTCCCATAACTCAGTCACCCTACCTCCCTACCCACACAATTTCACATTCTCTTTCTTTCATTTAAACCCTATTGGTTCCAGTTTGCATTGCTCAGTTACTCTTGGGTGTGGTCTGCCTACCAAAGGTAACACCATAAATGAAAATTGACTTTCTCTCAGCAGCTACTAAAGGTCCATAGCTCCTCAGCTAGGAGTGAGACCTTACAGCTGTCTCCCCCACCCCCTGTCCCATACCCCCACACTGCAAATTTGTCTGGCTTCAGCTTGCACAAGTTTTGTGTATACTGTCACAATCACTTTGAATTCACATGTGCAACTTCCCTGGTGTGCCAGAAAACACTGTTTTCTTGAAGTTACCCACCACCTCTGGTTCTTGCAATTTTCTGTCCCCTCTGCCTGGAAGATTCCTGAGCCTTAGGGAGAGGGGTGTTATAAACATATCATTTAAAACTGAGCATTTAGCAGTCTCTCATTCTTTGTACATTGACCAGCCGTGGATGTGTGTGTGTTAGTTTCCATCTGTTGTGAGACATTGCTCATATGGTGAGGATTGATAAGTCACTAGGAGTTATTTTAATACTGTGTCCACTTAGTGGGAAAATAGTACTAGGTTCTTCTCTGGGGCCTATGATCTATCTAGCCACAGATTCTTGGCCCTGAGAATGAATAACAGTGCCAAGAATGGGTTCCATCTCATAGGGTAGGTCTTACATATCTTATTCTAAGAGTTTTTTCTTGTTGGTTTCGGTTTTTGTTATTTTTAGTTCTTTGAGAATTTCATATAATGTATTTTTATCAAAATTGCCCCAACTCCTCTTTCTGCTTCCTCCTAAATCCACCCTCATCTTCCTACCCACCCCCAAATTCATGTCCTCTTATTTATTTGTTTTTCCTTTATTTTTAAATAACCCATGGCTCCTATTTGTGCTGTCCATATGCTCCTAGGTGTGGAATTATCTGCTGGAGTGTCATTGACCTACCAGAAACCACACCACTGAAAATATACATATAAGTAACATTACAGAGACTCAACAGGCTATATTTAAGAATATATATGTACATACAAATACATATATGTATGTAATGCCAATTAATGAAAAAAGAGGCCAAGAATTTGAAGGAGGGCAGGAAGGATATGGGAGGGTTTGGGAGGAAGATAGGGAAAGGAGAATTGTGATTAAATTACAATTGTTGTTCTTTAGTTACAGTTATAGGAATAAAAGCTAGAGAAGGGGTGGGAGGTCCTGAGTGAGGGTCCCAAGTGGGTGGGGTCCCAAGCTAAGGGACCATGTGTGAGAGCATAGCAGGTTCCATAGCAGGTGAGGGTGAACAGGCGGGAGGGAATAACACGCCAGGCAGATAGCGCTTAAATGAGGAGTGAGGGGGAAGGGAAGAGACATAGAGGCACCGGGAACAGAAGAGGAGAGACGGGAGGTAAGAAGAGGGGGGTAGCTGGTGGCCAACAGAAAGCAGGAGAGATACAGACAGAGACAGAGAGACAGAGAGACAGA